TTCAACATTAAATGTTTCTGCAGTCTTTTCACATGTTTTCAGCAATTACTTTCTAACGTGTGTAATGTGTTTAGAAACAAATCTCAGAATTTGCGTTTCACAGTAGCAGCAGCAGTGTAATTCACTATAATGGTTGAACTTTGCAAGTGATCCACGAACCATCATACGTGCCAAACTGTAGCACCTGATCCAGCTCTGATCTGTTACACCACTAGAGTTGCAGTTTGGAAGTTGTAGAACAGTTTTATTATTATAGTTTCAGTTTTTTTGTGGGGGTGGTGACTTTATTTATTGTGTTGTTAGCCTTCTTTGCGTTTTTAATTATTTTCAAAAAGTGAACTTGATGATTAGGCTACCAAATTCACTGCCACTCCAGCCCTCATCATCCGCCAAACAAGTGATCTCACGCGCTATGCTTGTTTGTTGACCATCAGTTGACAGCTAGAAGTTTGTCAGTACCTGAAGCTGCTCCAAATTCCGAGCGTGAGTGAAATTGAACTTTCGCAACCTTAGTTACTGTTGCTATGCCTACTGTAAACAGCCAAGCATGGAGGGGAAAAGTGGCATATTACCGGTCGGTGTCAGGGATTATTTTTGGAGCAATACCTCCAGATTGAGGCAAAAGGGATTGCAATATGCAGTGGAGGGATATATTCTCAATATTTAAATCAACAAGGAAGGAGACACAACAATAATTGAAGCAAAAGCATACAGATCTCAATTAAAGAATGAGAAATGTTTATAAAGCTATTATTGAAATCTTTTATCAGTCAACATCATCCTATCAATTTCAGCAGAAATTCTCTTGTTAAAGTTAAGCCTACGACTGCCCCGACATAACAAGTTAATTATTTGAGGTAGCTATATAGCTAGTCTGGCTTACCAGATGTAGGTTGTTGGCATAACCCGGCCCAAGCCGGGTTATAGGCGGGCTTATACCTTATACTCCTCCCCCTTCAGCCATCTGCCACCGTTGCTGCATCCTGATTGGTTGAAGACATACAAACAAGACGGAGGGTTTTTTGTCCTCTAATCCAGAATGATAGTGAGTAAAGCCAGACCTTTCTCCAGCGCTGTGCTAAAATGTGCTAAAAGTGTGGAGATAGGTCTGGCTATGCGAGACTATCTAGCTAGGCAGCTAGTCGTTTTAATGGTCACGTTAGCACAAATAACTAGATAACGTCAACGTTAGATAACATTGGGCCTCATTCACGAACCGTTCTTAAGAACAAATTTGTTCTCAAGTCCTACTTACGAAGATTTTACGAAGATTGTGGCATTCATGAATGTTTTTCTTATCCAGGATTTTTCTTAGGTAAGAACAAATCCTGCGAACACTCAGGAGTACTCTTAAGCACATTTCAGTGCCGACATGTTGGCATGGTTGTGTTGTCTTCTTTTGTTAAGTTCAAAAAAATACATTACAGTGAAATTGCTGTCATATTTATGTATTTATTTATATAAAAATAATAAAAATTATTTATTAATTTTTCATTTTAATTACATTAAATGTGCCAATGCTTTAACATGAATCAGGTACATTGGAAACCATGCCGTCAATTAGTGATCCCACCCTATTTATAGGTGGCATTTCTCCATCCACGGCCTACAAAACAATGGCATATATATTGCTGCTACAGGAGATGGGGGATCTGCCCTACGGAGGGAACGAATCTTTCAGGACCACGTAGATCTTTTTTTGCCCTGCACACGGCCCTGCAGTCCCTTTTATGGGCATTAATGGGCGGTTACCTATGCTAATCCTATGTTAATTAGACTCACCTGGCACGCGCTCAATTTACGAGGAGATGGCATTCATCAATCTAAGAACACAGCTGTGAACAATTCAGCGGCTTAAGAACACGTTGATGAATCTGACGTAGGGTCTTCTTAGAAGTCTTCTTAAGAAGGACTTAAAGAATCTAAGAAGATTCTTAAGAAGATATTGGTGAATGAGGCCCATTGTTTGTATTTAGCTGGGAATGGGGCCTCCCACAGTTTATTTTTTAAATTTGATTTAAAATATATATTAATAGATTTTTAAATGTCAAAGGTTCTAGCTTGCTTAATGAATGAGTATTCATTTTCAAAAAGGCTGTGTGACACAATATTTTACTACAATTACCATGATAAGAATAGGCAAAACGTATGTCCCAGAAATAATGACATCAGGGCCCAGTTTCCCGATAACGATGGATCCACGCTCGTACGATCCTTCTTACGAATCATCTTACGAATCATCTTTCGAGCGATCGTTCCGTGCGTTTCCTGAAACTCCTCTTAACATGAACGCGCGTGCACAGATCTAACGATCGATCGTAGCCTTGTAACTGTCCACTGACACGGTTCTGAAATACATATTATACCATGGTCTGGGTGAATACTCGATTCTGATTGGCTGGAGGGTGTAGGTTAAAAAGTACACCTAGGAAAGACGTTGACGCTATGAAGACGCTATGGCCACATTGCTTGGCAACGCCTGCATACGGGAGATATTAAATAGTCCGCTCGACTTGTAAAAATAAAAAAAAACCTCACGATTTTAACTCTAAAACACATTTAAGTATTATTAATTGATTAAATATTTCTTTCTTTCGTGATCATGGTATAAGCGGGATAATGCCCTTCGAGGTGTCCATTAACAGAACCGTTCACGCCTCCGCGTCGTCCATTCATTTCTGTTAATGGACACCTCGGCGGGCATTATTCCTTACATATTGCAGCTAAGGCCGGGGTAGCGTTAGGTGAGCCGGAGGATAGCGATGAAGACGATGACGACGAGGAAGAACAAGGGTTTCAGGAAGACCTCCCTCAAAACATTGTGGCTGGTTTTGATACACGTAGAAGAGTGATTGAGACTTTTTTCTAATCAATTGTTTCTGATAGGCCGATTTGTCACATCGTCTTTATCAATCACCAAACTATAACAACCTAACGGCACACAATAGGCCCATACGTGACACACTATTACCAATAACATAGACTAAGCTATATAGCCTATCGTAACTTTAGCCTCAGTGGAGTCACCAGCTGGACATTCAGTGGTATTGGATGTGTTGTGCAACATTAACAACGCTCGTAGTGCGCTACGAGTACCCCTGGAGCTCTCGTTAGCTACGAGCGTCTTAACGACGGTCGTTACGCAACAATGCTTTTGGGAAACGGTGTGAAAACTGTCTGATGGTCGTACGACGAACTTAACGGTCAGTGTACGTCGCGGCCATTCGATTTCCGTTCTGAGATGGGAAATCCAAAATAGGGAAACAGACCCGTTTTCCATTTTTCGTTTTGGAATCAGAAAACGAGAAACGAGTCTATTTTCGTTTCCGCTGCTCGGACCCCACGGCATGTACCGCCTCACACACGCGCTCCCACTCATTTCCTTCCTCTTCATATTGATCCCTGCTGACGGGACCAGAGAGAATCTCCCTCCGCGGCTCCACGTCATTCACCACAATCTCCAACTCGGACTCTGTGAAATGTCTTTTCTTTCCTTTGTTCATGCTTGTGTTACACCCAGAGAGTGCAAGCTGACTCAAGGGTTGGCATATTTTAGAAAAGATGTTATTCTGAAAGAGTCAATTAAACAAAAAGAAAAGTGAGTCGGCTGGTCTTCAGTGGCTTTACTGGTCCCGGTTCACAGTTTATATAGCCGCGGGTGGTCTCCTGCCTTTAATACTTAATAATAATAATATCTATAATAATATCAATAATAATACTAATATCAATAATATTAATAATAATAATTTTCAGTGCAATTTATTGTTGCACTGCATTTTTATTTTCAATAATTACATATCTACATTTAGCAGTGGTTGAAGTTGCACTTTTTTCAGAAAAAGGAGTAGAAGAAGAAGTTTTTCTAGTGCTCCTAGATTTTTAAGGTTTGGAGGTAAAAAAGTTAGTCTAGAGGGTTGTTCATTGTTTGCAGTCTTAGAACTGCTTAGAACCTGTTTGAGTGGCGCTAAACTGTCCTGATGCAACACTGTCACATTAATTCCGATGAAAAATCTTACAAACTAACTTGGACCAGGATCGTAAAGTGTTGTTGGGCACATCCTTCATGTCTATATATGATCTTTTCCCAGACTGATCTGACGTTTGTGGGCTGCGTGGGCATGCTGGACCCCCCCAGAGCAGAGGTGGCTGCTTCCATTAAACTGTGTCGCCTGGCGGGCATCAGAGTCATAATGATCACCGGAGACAACAAGGGTTAGTCAGCAAGTGAAAGTTAACCCGTCAACCACATGCCGCTCCTCTCTTATTCTATTGGTTTAATTATCCCATGGACTCAACAGGAACTGCCGTGGCCATCTGCAGACGCGTTGGCATCTTCGGGGAGGACGACGACGTCTCCAACATGGCCTACACCGGCCGCGAGTTTGATGACCTCACACCCTCTGAACAGAGGGAGGCGGTGGTGAAGGCCCGCTGCTTTGCTAGGGTAGAGCCCTCCCACAAGTCAAAGATCGTTGAGATCCTGCAGTCCTATGATGAGATCACCGCAATGGTAATCAATGTCATTAAACATTTTAGATAACGGTTGATATTCTCTTTACACTTGAAATGGACACAGTTGATATTATAGATGATCTCATCATCTGTCTCTGTCTCTCATAAACATTCTTGAGATGATTATCATAATATACAGTCTACAACCCTAATATACATAATAGATGGTTTGTTTACTCTGTCTCTCTTCTCTCTCCAGACGGGAGACGGAGTGAACGACGCGCCTGCGCTGAAGAAGGCAGAGATCGGCATTGCCATGGGCTCCGGCACTGCCGTGGCCAAGACTGCCTCCGAGATGGTGCTGGCCGACGACAACTTCTCCACCATTGTGGCGGCCGTGGAGGAGGGGCGCGCCATCTACAACAACATGAAGCAGTTCATCAGATACCTAATCTCCTCCAACGTGGGAGAAGTGGTCTGGTCAGTACTTTCTTACCTGCTTGCACTTCTTCTGTTACCGTTATGATTTGATTCCACCTGAGCAGGGGGCAGAATAGTTGAGTGGTTAGGGTGTTTGACTCACAGCCGAAAGGTTCTGGGTTCAATCCCCAATGTCCCTTGCATATCTGCTTTGGATAAAAGCAGCTGTTAAATTAATAAATAGTAAAATGGTAGTAAACATTTCTAATCGACTGGAAGACAATTAGATAGGAGTTTTCTGATCTTTTTGTGTAGTCAGGTATGTGATACAGGTTTACACAGGATGTGTATAACTGTGTGTGCCATATCTGTGCAGCATCTTCCTGACAGCGGCCCTGGGTTTCCCTGAGGCACTGATCCCTGTCCAGCTGCTCTGGGTAAACTTGGTAACAGACGGCCTGCCTGCCACCGCCCTGGGCTTCAACCCCCCGGACCTGGACATCATGAACAAACCTCCACGCAATGCCCGCGAGCCCCTCATCTCCGGATGGCTCTTCTTCAGATACCTGGCCATCGGATGTTAGTTGGGGAGGGGAAATGTTTGTTAATTGTTAACTGAGTTAAGGTAGCAAAGTTTGTGTGCTCTTTTTGATCATGTCCTACACTCTAACCTAAGGGGATAGTCAAATGTTTTGATTCAATGCCATTAATATTTAGCTAGTAGCCACCTCAGTTAGTGATGTTGTGATGTAAATAGTGTTGTGCTGAAGTGTTTACCAGCAATTTGAGAGTAGTGTGATGTGGTTGCAGACGTTTCTAATCTTATGCATAGTTCTGTGCTGATGTGTACCAGCAGTATGAGAGTGGTATGGCCCAGTAGCAGACGTGTGTCTATCTGACTATCTAAAATACTCCACTCCATGCTCCATCCACTACACATCCCTCCAGGTGAATTAAGCAATATTACACTTAAGGGTGTGCTTTACCGTCATTATTGGCATGACAGTGATGTGGTTAACGCAGAGTTCCACAAGTAAGCATCACTGAAGTACAGTTAAGTACACCCACCCAAGTGTAATATTGATACCACAGTTACCAACAAAATAAAATATATAATCTAAATGTAATAATATTGTGGGGCAATTGACACTCACTAATAAATCACTTTTTGTTAGTTGTATCTCAGTTTCCCTGGAAATACATGGAGTCTGACCAATACTCAGAAAACAGTCACATCCGTAGACTCCTATGCAAAACTGTAGTTTACTTCTCTAGTCAGTAGGGCAGACTTTAGTAACGACTTAGCAATGGAGACATTTACTCGTACCTACTGTTGAGTCAGCAAACCAACTTGAGCTAATGTGTTGTAACTAAATATTTGCTGAAAAATATATTTTTTCCATAGATGGATTTTGCTACTACAGCCGCACATTTTTAAGATGGTAGTGCCATGTTATGGGTCGAATCAATGGAGTAATATATAGTAATGTAGCGTTTTGTATTTGGTGTGCTTTCATGCTCATTTGATCACGTTCTAAAGGTTGCTCGGTCAAAACTACCCGTGGTATCTAATATCTTATGTACTCTGCCCCTCCAGGCTATGTTGGTGCAGCCACCGTTGGAGCTGCAGCCTGGTGGTTTGTGGCAGCCGAGGACGGGCCCAGGATTACCTTCTACCAGCTGGTGAGTACCGGCAATGACCAGCAGCACACACTCTGAAAGTTGTCTTATTGTCCACTGCTATGCGCATACTCTGTTATTCTAAACCACTTCATCTCCACAGAGCCACTTTCTGCAGTGCAGTGCTGACAACCCAGAGTTCCAGGGCTTGAACTGTGAGGTGTTTGAGTCTCCGTATCCCATGACAATGGCCCTGTCCGTGTTGGTCACCATCGAGATGTGCAACGCTCTCAACAGGTCAGCAAAAGTTACCTGACAAACAATGAAGCTTCTTGACAAATACTGTGCCTCCCTATTTAACTGAAATTAAATCTGTGACCTGATTTAGTGATTTAAGTAAAAAATAACTAGTCCCTGGTTATCTAAATACCTGCTGTGTTGTGCTTCCAGCGTGTCGGAGAACCAGTCCCTGATGCGCATGCCTCCCTGGGAGAACGTGTGGCTGCTGGGAGCCATCTGCCTCTCCATGTCCCTCCACTTTCTCATCCTCTATGTGGAACCTTTACCGGTTCGTCCATCTCCCCCCATGCTGCTTGACGTTAAGTTGTCATTAGGTTTAATTTCCTTAAAGAAATGGGGCCTAGCTTAAAGTAGAGGTTGACTTTCATACTGACAATGTTGTTACACAAGACACTTGTCCAAATAAGCTTTCTACAGCAAGCTAGCTTATATATTGCATTATGGCAATGCAATATATGTATGGGATAGGGATGTTCACAATTAGTCGACTAGTCGTTGCTGCACTTGCTAGTCGGCACTAGAAATACTAGTCTTTTCTCTCTGACTGTGTGTTCACATCAGAAGCGAATTAAGCTGCAAAGACGCTTTGGTCGCTCATAAAGTATCGCTGCAAATATTTCTGTTCGCTTTTGTCGTTCGCTTAGTAGCTCATGATGTACGTTCGATTTTGCAGACACATTTTAAGGAGCCGTATGCTTTTAGTACAGACAGCCATATCAAAGAGTGAACTCCCATACACTTTGTTAGCAGGCTTGTATCGCGCCTATTTTACAATAATCTCAAACGTTTCATTAACTCACCAGACCAACCAACCTCACGAGACACATCCGCCCAGGCCAGAGCCTTTTTGTTGCGATCTCTGAAATCAAAGTCTTGGATCGTACAACACCGGGTGCCCAGCCACAGCCGTGGTTAACTTTTCAATCGACATTTTGAATGTACAGTAGGAACCAAAAAAGTACAGTACGAACCAAAGTGCCGGTGTTCCCCTGGGATCCACGCAAGCGAAGAGCATCTACATTCCGATTGGTTGTCAGTGTTTTGCAGCCGAAACGCGTCATAGTAATTTGCATAAAGTTCAGCCGTCTTCAACTTTTTTTGGTCGCTCTGGTCGCTCAACTTTTGCCGCTGGTAGCGTTTGTCGCTTGTGTCGCTTTGGTCCCTCTTGCCCATAGAAAGTGAATGACTTCCAGTGATTTGGCAGCTCAATTCGCTTCTGATGTGAACACACAGTGAGAAAAGCATTTCTGTCGAGATATGAATCACAGAAGCACGGCATGCACTATATATATATACGCATATAAGAATTAGACCATGCATGTATTAATATAATGAACTAACGTTAAACGTGTAGTTTCCCAGTCATCAGTAATCTAATGATTTTCTTTAATCTGGTGCACAATTCTCAACAGCTCTCTTCGCCCCAGTCAGTAGGCCTAAATGTGGTCAGATGTGCTGCCGTTCAGTTCAGTTGGTATTTTCATGACTTCATTTGAAAATACCCTGTTTTAATGGGATATCGAATAATAACCATTGATATATGAACGAGCTTGCGCTCCCATTAAAGGATTGAACTCTTAAGCTGTGCACACACTTACGGTGCTTAGCACACCCTGTTTTAGTCATGCGCATCGTTGAAATGTCACGAATGTGCACGTCACAATTTTTCAGCCTGATTTAAAATATCAGATTAAGAATTTTAAATGGCTCTTATAATACAAACAATATTTGTTCAACCATGTTTGGCCTCTTGGAATGTTTACTGATTTCTAGGGATTTTTCTTTTTTAAAGACCAGTTGAGTAGTCGTTTACAAAATGTCCGTGTAACCGTCAGGGGATTAGTCGTAAGGATAAACCCTAGTATGGGACTATTTGGGATTCAGAATGACTTCAACAATACCAGCTATAAAATGGGAATAATTGTAACGTGGTAGTGTTTTCATGATACCATACACAGATAGATGATGTGTGGAACACCTTTTCCCTCCAGATCATCTTCCAGATAACCCCCCTTAACCTGACCCAGTGGCTGATGGTGCTGAAGATCTCCCTGCCCGTCATCCTGCTTGACGAGCTGCTCAAGTTCTCAGCAAGGAACTACCTGGAGGCTGGTAAAGAGCCGGTGAAGCCCCCGGCCTGCCGCTTCGCTGCATGCATGGAGGGCATCTCCTGGCCCTTCGTGGCCCTCTCCCTCCCACTGGTGCTGTGGATTTACAGCTCTGACACTAACATGGCCGACATGTTCTGGTCTTGACTGACTTGAGCACCCAAGCACTGAGTTTTCTTCCAACCACCACGCCTCCCTTCCTCACCGCCACTCCCCCTCCCATCTCTGCCTACCTGCGTGTGCATAGCTAGTATGTGTTTGTGTAGAAGTAGAGCGTGTGCTTGTGTATGCTTGCCGAGTGTGCATGAGAAGGACCAAGTTTAACACACGAAAACAACGTAACAAATAATCTAAAATTGTGGCAATGAGAAGTCATTTGTTTGGATAATTATTATTTTATGGATGGCTGAGGCTTTAAATGTGAGTGTTCGATGACCATCACTCCCATAGCTGTGGACTTATTTGCTGGTTTAAACGAGAAAACTACAATGTATCAGACTTTGTTTATTGTCAATATTGCATTTTTTTAAAATGTGTATTTTGAATGATTTGGGAATATTTTTCATCTCATTTCACTACAGTATAAATGGCAGAATCCCATGTTTTGATAAGGTTCCCTTTTCAAATTTAGATATTCCTAAGCAGTACGTTGACCTGTACAGAGATTTCACACTATTTTATGGTTTTTGTTTTGTTTTTGTATTGCTTTGGTTTCTACCAAGCGTGACTTATTAAGAGCGCCTTGATTTATTTTCTAATGTTTACCATTGTGTCCAGTATAACTTCAGAATTCTTTCAGAGCCAACGGACAAGCATTGTGCGGTGGAGAAGGATGGGAAAGGTTTGGGGAGTGAGTGGTTGAATGCGGGGAAAAAATACAAAACATTAGTTATGCTTAAAAAAACAAAACAAAACAAAGCTGCATGTTCTGTGACCAAGCATGATCTGTATGTGGTTTCTTCATTTATAATTTAATTGTATATGCCCCCCCCACCCCACCATTTAATGTAAAAACTTCCTTCATCGATGTTTAGTTTTTAATAACTGATTTGAAAAGCCAGTTTTTCTGCACTAGGCAGAGCACAGCTACCTCAGTATGACTCATTTTCTCTAGGTGCCTCACCCACATGGCTTTCCAGTCGATATTTAACAATTCATTAAAATAACTGTATACT